TGACCTCTTATCTCCAAGTAACCATCCACCTAAAAAAATTCATATATAATGACTATATTTATACTCTCTATTGTACATTGAATATATATTAATCCTTGAATAAATAAATAAATATATATATATTACCATAAAATCAGTCAACTATATTAATATACTACCAAATATAATTTTAGGCCAATACAATTATGAATATAATCATACAAAAAAACTTTATATACTACCAAATATTATACATTTTTCCCTTATTTATTTAGATTTTCAAAATTCCTTGATTCATTCCCATATCGATTGTTCTTTTTTTTTTTTTTTGCTAAGAATGTAAATATTCATTAAAAATGAAAAATGTTTAGGTTTACAATCAAGATTCTAAATCTAATGCTTGGTCCCATGCAAAAAGTTAAAAATTGTTCAATGTTTCATTTGTTTTTTTTTTACAATTGAAGTTGTGTGTGTGTGTGTGTTTTCAGAAGAAGGAGAAGAAGAAGAAAATGGAAAAATGAGAGCAAAATAGGGAAACGTACCACTTTAGGCTTTAGCAGTAGTAACTAGTAAGAAAGGCTTTGAAGTCGAAGACGGAACTCGAATATACTTTTCAAAGTATGTATGTACTGTATATATAGCTAGTGTGGCTGCAGCTGTACGTACTCAACCTATAAATAGAGAAAGACAGAGAGATAGAGATAGAGACAGAGTCAGCTCCAACGTGTCAATTCTACTCATAATTAAATTCGTGGCGTCTCTGGTCTCTCTCTCTCTCTCTATCAGATTTGTTTATTTACTTTTCTATCGGATTCACTGAACAGTTAAGGTATAGTGAGAAAATGTCGATATCTTATTAGCTAACACAACACTAAGGCCCTACCCATGTGGTACGGTTAGCTTAGTGGATAAATATCTCATCGATGGCTCTTGAGTTGTTGTTATGGGTGAACTACTGAACTCAATAACATGAGATAACAAATGAACGTAAACTATATATATATATATATAGGTGAAGTGAATCCAGTCTTAGCCACCTGACCTTTACGTTTATCTAACCCAACCAATCCGATCGTACCTCAAATATATGAAACATCTTTTCAGATTAATTTTCTCAGGACTAAGATATTAGTTATCTATTTTGATACAACTCATCTCTGAGATTTTTCAACTCACGCATATTAATAAGCAGAGGCTTTCGTAATCTTTATCTCTTGAAAAAGTTGGAACCAATCCTAACAACATCTAGTGCAACATTCCTACATTAGACCTCAACATATTAATGCTCCAATATAAATTTTAAAAGGGATTCTAATGGAACTCTTGCCAAATTTACTTGATTTTCCACACAAAAAAAATTATAAAGAAAACCCCATCTCTCCGAAGACAATAAACATTTTATCTCAACTGGTAACATCTCACAGCCACAGGCTATACAGCATAACTTCTCCAAAAGCTTCTAATTGATCAACTCTCCTCTGGGCTCTCTCGCATTATCTGTAATATGATGCTATAACATAGAGCATGAAAGCCGATGATGCCGTCACTATAAGTTCCTGCAACCCAATTAGCACTGTTGATTCAGTTCTTGTTACAACATCAAAAGCCTGGTCGACTGTTATCACTTATGGAACTATTTAATTTAGAAACAAGACCTTTCTCTTTGCTATATCTTAATTCAGCAATTGTGGCAACACATATCCAACTCAGGTGTTCTCATTTCATACCGTACACTTGTGCATCTAGTTTTCATTTCAGTACAAGTACTTATAACATAATACCTATAAATGTGACAAATCACTTGCATTACAGCAACCGACACAATCATCTACAACCTAATCATCTAGTGATGTTCATCGAGGCTTAGCCAACAATTGACCTATATATCCTAAACCACTTTTGACCAAAATGATAATTTTGTGGGACTAGTTAAGGGAAGGTTTCAAGTGAAGAGAGATATGAGTTATCCAAGAACACCAACCTGGTTGTTGTAAAGAACCATGGGTATGGATTTGCCCATGTACTCGATGCCATTTAAGAACCCAGTGTAGGCCTGCAAAGCATTATTCACTAAGAGTTAAACAAAGGTATTCTCAATTCAAAGACCTCCTGACATATAAACTAATGCTTTGACACTGTGAGCCGTATTATATCACATACACCGCTCTCTTTGAATAAAAGCTAATACTAGATAGTGCAACATAAACGGATTCATTAAAATAACGGAGTCTTGATGGATATGCATACCAAAGATGCCACAAGTATAGAGCCAAAAACTAAGGAAAGAGAACGAAGAAGCCTCTTTCCCATTCTCAATCCCCGACCACTTTCTTCGCCTTCCTCCTACAGCCAGTGTCAAACATCAGTGCACATCAGGACTAGAAAAGCCACCAGGTGTACCGACATTAAAACATAAGGCTTCAACTTTTTTCAAAACTCACGTTATATATTGGAGATGAAGGTGCTTCAAAGGATTTTAATTTCTCAAAAATTCTGTAAACAAATACAAAAGACATGAACTGCAGCGGTTTGTATTCCACATTACGTTTTATCGCAATCCATGCACTCTGCAAAAAGAGAGAAACAGAGAGAGTGAGAGAGGTTCATATCTGATTGTATGATCCAAGTACTTGAAATATCATATACGCATACATGTGTTAGAAATAAGTCACTTTTTCTGCAAGAATCTAATCATTTAAACCAAAGCATGATGTTTTTAAATTCATAAAAGGTACAGATGTTTAAAAACCAAAATCGACATTTCTAATAATAGCAGATCTCATTTTGCTTAAAATACTTACAAACACAACTGATATCGCTAGGTTGATCAACATATCATTTCTGGAGGACCTGGAAAACCTGTAACAACATGGGTAAATCATGATTAGCAATAGTTCATGCTTTTGGATGAAGAAAGTTAATAATTCGAGTAGACTCATAAAGAAGCTCTACCTTGGACCCCATGGTATAATGGGCTGCTTATCAGCATATTTAATGTCCTTGGAAACCTGAATTATGAGAAATTCACCCAGGATTGAGAAAGTAAGTTCATAGAGTTCGAGACAGCATATATATGACAAGAAAGAGGACACGATACATACCTTAAACGAACCAAAAGTCACACCCTTTTTCCTATTCATCAACTGGGCATACATGAGCTTATCATATGCTTTCTCAAGCTATCAAAAGGTAAAACAGAGACGTGTTAACAAGAAAAAAAAAAATCATTACTAAAAGGACGCCAAAGAAAGAGAGAGGTAACCTACTAGAGCAGCAGTGGCTTCATCACCGCTCCTCTGAGCATCTTTAAGTTTTCTTCCATAAGTTTGCTTGATCTTGTCAAATCCCTCTATAGGGTTAACACCAAGAACCTGAAAAGGTACACACACTCATGTCTTGAGGAGTGCACAATGAGCAACAAAACAAGTCCTTTATAGGGCTCTAGAGATGAATTACCTCATACGGGTTAAAGTCAGCATCAGACTGTGGATTTCCAGCCGCAGAGGAAGCAGCGCGTATCACAATCCTGCTCTGCAACACCCTTCCGAGAGGAAGCCTGAGAAATTCAATCATCCTCATTACAACGGAACAAAGCTCAACAATTGAAAGTTGTAAACTTGATAGCCAACAGTAAGAAGCTCATCGACAAATTAAACCGTCGGGAATTCAATTGACAATGTTTATGAATGGAAAAGATAAGGGTTGCTCAAAAAATCCGTAAGTTCACTGAAACCTAAAACATAAGGAACTAACAAACGATGATTCTTCGATTATAAAGCCACCGGAGAGATAACTGGAAAAAAGCAGCATCAAGAGAAAGTACCTGACAAAAGAAGGCGATTTGGGAGTGCGAAGAGAGTTCCTGAGAGCAATTTGAGGATGAGGGTAACGAAGCGCGTTGGATATTGAAAAAGCCATGATGGAGCAGCAACAAGGCATGACACAAGTAGATAGTGCGCGAGCCATGGCAGAGCAGAGCTCTAATAGGGCTAAAAGGAAACTAAAAGTGAATGTGTTTGGTGATCATAAGAGGATAATATATGAGTTAAAACTGAGGGTCGACCAATTAGTTCGCGTGGCCTAATGGATAAGGCGCTCGCCTCCGGAGCGGGGGATTGTGGGTTCGACTCCAATCGTGAACGATATAATGAAGTTGATGCTCTCTATTTTATTCAGGCGGCCTACGTTCTTCAGCCCAACCGATTTATTGGGCCAATCCACAGTCCTTTTTTTTCTCAGTTTGTTTTCTTGGACGAGACTGAAAACTGAAAAAGAGGCCTTCTTTCTTCAGCCCAACCAAATTATTGGGCCAATCCAAAGCTTTTTTTTTTTCATCTTTAGTTTGGTTGCGTGGGATCTCTGTATTACTTGCAGGGACTATCTCCCAATTCCAATACAAACATGCCACACTTATTGCACTTTTTCTTATCTCTTTTCCAGTTTTCAATCTCCTCTAAGAAATCGTTTAATACATTCAATTTGGAAATGTTTTTGCATAAATAGGGGATGGATATCCTTCTTTTTTTTCACTAGAGAGTACATTATAAATTTATCAACTTTTTCTGGAAACATATTAAATGGTAAATCATATATTTTATGTCAACAAATCTGGGTGGGTTGATTATGTTTTTGTGTAATTCAGAGAGGATTGTAGTACATTTGATAATAGCTTAATTGTGATTTAAAAAAAAACTTTAATGTGATTTTAGACTACCATAAAGTACTAATTACCATTTCAATGAATAAAACAAAATCTTAAATAGATAAAGAATTGTTAGAAAGTAAAATTGTATTTAAAATAATAATAAAAAAGACATCACACAAAGTACAAACCTTCTCCAAGTAAACTTCAAACAAAACAAAAAAAAAATAAAGGATTTGGATTGGGAAATAATATCTAAAATCCTATTTAAAAAAATAAAGTAAAATAGATATACCAACGTTAACGAAAAAAAACTAGAAGAAAAAAAAAACATGTAGGCATCAAAAGGAATATTCTTAAGAAGAATTTTGGCTATAAAAAAAGGTAGAGCCGACTCAAAGAGCTCTTCTTAACTCACACAACAACCAACACAAACAAAAAAGAAATTAAATAGTGATATTATGACTTGCAGCCAAACACTCGGAAACAACAACGCCAACAAATACCAGATCTGCGAGGAGATCGGCCGTGGCCGTTTCGGCACCGTCACTCGCGTCTACGCTCCGGCCACCGGTGATTTCTTCGCTTGCAAAACCATCGACAAGGCCTCCCTCTCTGACGACCTTGACCGCGCCTGTCTCGATAACGAGCCTAAGCTCATGGCTCTCTTGTCCTATCACCCTAACATCGTCCAAATCCATGATCTCATCGACACTGATTCGACTCTCTCCATTTTCATGGAGCTAGTCGATCCCTCTGTGTCGATCTACGACCGTCTGGTTTCTTCTGGAACCTTCTCTGAGTCTCAGACGGCGTCGTTCGCTAAACAGATTCTCCAGGCGCTTTCGCATTGTCACCGATACGGCGTCGTTCACAGGGATATTAAACCGGAGAACATTTTGGTAGATCTACGAAACGATACGGTTAAGATCTGCGATTTTGGTTCAGGGATTTGGTTAGGTGAGGGAGAGACCACCGAAGGAGTCGTTGGAACGCCGTATTACGTGGCGCCAGAGGTTTTAATGGGATGTTCTTACGGCGAGAAGGTCGATATCTGGAGCGCCGGCGTCGTTTTATACACGATGCTCGCTGGAACTCCACCGTTTTACGGGGAGACGGCGGAGGAGATATTCGAAGCGGTACTCAGAGGAAACCTCCGATTTCCGACAAAGATATTCCGGGGAGTTTCATCGATGGCTAAAGATTTCCTAAGGAAGTTGATATGCAAAGATGCTTCTAGAAGATTCTCAGCCGAACAAGCATTAAGTAAGATTCTAAATCCATCAGATCTGTTTCTCTATTTTGAATTTTTTGATGTCAATAAATTTTTATCTATTTTTAACAGATTTTTTATCTTATCCATTTGATCCAAATTTTTTAGTAGATTGGTTTTATATTTATGATAAAAAGTAAATTAAATTTTGTTTTGTTTGGTTGCAGGGCACCCATGGATCCAAAGAGCAGGAGAAACAGAGGAGAGATTCATGTAGAAGAATCTCTGGGAGAATAAATAAGTGATAAGCTTATCTCTCTCGGTGGGCTTATTATCTAACAAGTATGGGGCAGTGTGCCGGGCATGTAAATTTGGCTTTGGGCATTGTAGATTCCGCCAACCTACCAACCTAGTAGAAGAGAAGACTCTGGAAAAGACTTTAACAAAAAAAAAAAAAGGAGCTAAATAATAAGAAGCTTGTTTGTTGTGGCTGCTTCTGAGTTTGGCGATGAGTTTTTTTTTTCTTTTTTTTTGTTGCTTATGTGAATTTTGCTTGGCTTTGAAAAGTCTTTAGGGTAGTAGGGACGGTAATGTAGAGGATAACTATCTTTTTCCGCCTTTTACGGGTTTTTTTTTTCCATGTGGGTGAGTAAAAGGATGTGAGAAAGCAGAGTTGTACTCCTTTTTCTGCTTTTTTTATCAATAAATAAGTTTATGTTATCCCTAATCTAACCCTTTTTTTTGTTGATAAAGACCTAATCTAATTTTTGCACATATATCAAAGGGATCCCATATATCAATTGAAATAATTTCTCTCAAGCAATGAAAAATGTCTTTGAGATACTTGGAGAAACCATATCCTTTTGTTTTTATCTGATTATTATCCACTGTGTTATATTCTTTTTAAATATATATATATATACCTTTTTAAATTTAAATGTTCGTTTACATGCGGATCCTATTTACAGTATAGTGTGTTTGATAACAACACTCCACCGATTTTAAAGTTAGTGCACACTTTTCATAATAGATCAACTTTTCACTCGTATGACTTTTTCATGTAGAAAACATGTACGGTGTGGGAAAACACGTTGTACGGTGGTGAGATAGTTAGGTACGTTACTACTTCTTCTATTTTCCAAAATTCCCCACATTTCAAAACTTCAAATCTACACCACTTTTGTTGCAAAGTCAAATTATATGAATAATAATCCAAATCTCTCCAGCATCATCCGTATATTTATTCTTTGTCTCCCCCAAATATATATCGGAATCTTTAAGAAATCAAAACCCACAAGGTAAACATGAATTTTTATTTGGTATGAGCATATTTTAAGCATATTCTTTCACCAATAGACCTCAAACCAAAATTCAAATCTCCATGAGATATTCCCACGTTAGTATATGCCGTGGATCAAACCCTTATTGATTCCTTTCTTGAAGTGGACTCTTTAAGTTTTAACGTGACTCATTATGAGTCTTCTGAGTCAATGGATGATACTACAATTTTATTGACAATTTAAACATTGTTGTAGCCTATTATCTCTTTTTCTTTTCATGTTCTCATTTGTCCATTCATGAAATAAATGTGAACGCATAAAATTCCCCTTTCATGAACGCATGAAAGGATCCTACATTATTTAAGAATAAAATAAACTAAAAAAACTAACCATAATTTGGCAGTCCTAATCAAAGGAATAAATCTTTATGTATTACATATTGCGTGATACCTCACATGCCCTATATGACTGGCATTAGCATGCCCATAAATCTTCATAAAATATTACTAGCTCCGATACTAGCAAAAACAATTATATTTTAATTAAATAAAGCTTATTCGAAAATTCATATGATATCGATTAATGTGGCATTATAAATCGTATGCCACGTAACTGCGTGGCATAGTATATTAATTAGTATATATCAATCATCAACACATAACAATCTTTAGTGCATGTCAAGTGTCGTGGAATCTAGCAATGAATCCACTAACGTAGAATTCATTTTTTAGTTCATGGTTGCAGACGTGGAATCATTTGATAAACGGAAAGATGGAATCGTTATATCTGTTTTTCTTGTCTTTTGAATTGCATTAAAATGAAATAAGTTATTTAATAAAGAAACAAGATATAAAATCAAATAAAACAAAACAAAATTTGGGAGAAACGAACGAGGTGGAGAATGCAACACAACACTAAGGCCCTACCCATGTGGTACGGTTAGCTTAGTGGATAAATATCTCATCGATGACTCTTGAGTTGTTGTTATGGGGTATTGAATTGACCCATAATTGATGAGAAAAAAAAAACAAGTTTCAATATTAAGACCATAATTTGTGCAGGCAACTAGTAATATTATATAAATACGAATACGTACTTTGACCGATTAAAATACAGTATTATCTATATTCTTAGATCGAAAGTTTGAATTTAGTACTATATTATAGTCATTTGTACAAGGCTGTTACTTAAAATGATTAAGAGCGATTAAAAATGGAAAACTAATTCTAAAAGAAACATGCAAGAAGAGACAAACTTAACCTAACTTATTGAAACCGAACCTAACTCTCATATAGTCATATCTTGAAATCTGTCAGAGCCTTAGCTAATAAGATATCGACATTTTCTCACTATACCATAACTGCGACATATTTCGAGAAACAATTATTTCATTAAAGAAATGATATAGTTAGTCCCACAAATAATTTGTGCCGTTGTGGAACTGTCCCTTGGAGACGCGTCAAAGGCAGCGTTAGGAGCGGGACCCATTACGACTGGTGGTGATCAGCGGCTTGACAGATCACGTCATGTGGTCGACCGAAGAATCAACTACGTGGTGGTTGATAAGCTATCTTTCTTTTAGCAATTTGCCTTTGGATAGTAGCGATGCCGTATTATAAATTGTTTTTCTCTCCATTTTTTTTTTCTTCTGTCGATATTTGTCTAAAGATGGTTCGTACGGTAGCCTCGGAAGTCAAGAACAGAAAACGAAGCAATCACGTGGTGAATAAAACAATCACGTACTACCCAATGCACCTTTGATAAAAACAGCGAAAATTAACGATAATAAACTAACTCATGTGGTTGAAATCTCATTACATTGATTTAAACTAGGATTTAAGGTTTTTATCATGATTTTAATTGTGGCTGATAAACGTCTTAAAGAATATCTGATTTTTATTTTAACTCCGGATATTAGTTTTGGTTTTGCAAGCGGTGACTATGGTCGACATCAACACGTCATTTGATTATGAACTCTATATATAATTTTGACGTGTAACTTTGACAAGTTAATTTACGGAGTAGTGACGGGTTAACGATGATTATTTTGTTTAAAAAGTTCAGCAAGGTTCATGCCTTGAGAAATGTATACTATATGAGCAATATTTAAGCAACAAATTAAAAATATCATTGTTGGAAGCATAACTGAGAAGAGGTTAGTAAAAGATCATAAAGAGAAGATATTTGGTTTGGAAAATAATTAAAAAGTAGAAGAGCATATGTTTAGTTTTTTTTTTTTTGTTTGCCTCTATGTTTAGCTATGAAAACCATAACATATTGGCATGCGGCAAATTAACACAATTAAACTAATACAGGACACACCTTTTTATTTTTTGGCCGAGGGATATTTTCGTCCGTGTTGGATGAAAATTCCACTTTATGAATGGTGGTTTTTCTAATATTCCCAACAACAATCTTCAGCTATGTCCTTACTTTTGTAGGTATACCCGAAAAAACAAAACCATAAAGGGCCCAATTTTTCGACCTTAGGAATTAGGATCCGTACTACAAACAATCCTGTTTGTTTGTCGATGACTCGCACCAGTAAATTCTAAAGATTCCTTTTCCTTACCCACAAAAGAACATCCATAACTGCGCTCTACCGATCTCTCTCTCAACTATGTTTAGATCAATATAGATCTTTACATAGAGAGCTAATTGATTAAACAGATTGCTTCAACAAAATTTCCGTGAAATGTAGGAACCTTTACTTTGTAAGCTCAAGATGGTATTGAAATTGAAACTTTACAAGATGATAAAAAAATTTACGCCTCTAATTTCAGTGGATGCCTCACGCAAACCAGATCGTCCAGTTTATTTCCATCCATCTTATACTGTGACACGCCTTTCATTTGGATATAGTGATCCCTAGCTTCCTTTCTTAAGCTCTTAAACGGCATCACTTCCCATTTCTTGTAATTTGACTTCCTCCTGATCTCACTCATGTCCGGAGATCCTGATACGGGTCCTTTTGTAGGGTCTGCGTCCCCCCACACCTTGCAATTACCGAATTGTCCTGACCCATCCCTCTTCGAACTAGTTGGCTGTTGGCTCCTTTGTAGGCGTAAGGCAGCTGTGTGAGCTCGGCTTATCATTTCACGACTTGGCACACTTGACCAGTCCTCCTTTCTCTGTGATCTCATGGGAGAATGGATCCGTATTACCTGCCAAGCTTGATTTCATCAGAAAGACCACAAAAGGTTTAACGTTTAGAGCAAAGTAGAATTATGGTTTTGACAAGTTATCTGTACACCAAGACACTCTAGAAGTTGGTAGTATGCCCTTCCTTGAAGTGGGTTGTGCCCTTTCCTTGGCGTTGAAAAGTAACGCGTCCTACATTGATAGTAAAGATACAAAGTGAGGAAAAAGGACGATTTATCTCTAGAAACATACTCGACATTTCCCGAACTAAAGGAAAATTCTTATCAGAGTTGAAGTATCCAATTTCCTAAAGAGCTTTTGAAATGTGAGAGATAGCAGTATGGATAAAAGTTATTTAAGATACTTACCACTCTGTGTATCCAGGATCAACGGTGAAACCATATATGTCAACGATATCGCACATGGACAATGCTAGTTCAATAGATTTCATCCCGGTTCCTTTGGCACCTCTGCGTAGGACAATTCCTTGGAAAAGATAAACAGGGTTTGGTATACGCTGTTACAAAATAATTTCGAAGTCGTGTAAGAACTGGGATGAAATCCATGTAAAAGCGACTGCAAGGATTCAGCATTCAGTCTCTTCAATTATGTTATTGACAGGGCCTTGTTACAAACGACCACAGTGGAAGTTGTAAAAACAAAACAAGTCATGATGTTGGAAAAAAAAAGAGAAAAAAAATGGTAATCATACCTTTATCATTTCGTTGAAGTCTCGGTGGGTCACACTTTTTATTATAAGCACCTCATTGTCTGCAGTAAATGATAGTTAGAGAAGGTTACATCACAAGGGTAAAGCTGCAACCTGCAATGAGTGCTTCAAGAAAACGAATCACAAGATGCAGATAATTTCTATGTCTAATATGAGTAACTAACCAGACCCATTGAGAATCTTAATCATGTTACGAGCTGCACCACGAACAACTAGTCGGAAATCCCTTTTCACTCCTACGTACTTGGCATACTTCTGCAACATAATTCAACATGAATATAAGCAATGCCAGCAACGAAAATCACAATTCAAGAATCAAGACCATGTCGAAACGGCAATCAATAAACTCAAAGAAATCACAAATCAGAATGTTAAGACATATTATTACCTCATTGACAGGAGCTTCATTGTCTCGAAATACAGCATCATGACTGTCAATCTCTTCTCCGAACTCTGTTTTTAATAGATCTCCAGAATTTCCAACAACAGCGCATTTATGAAACTGCCGTGGGTGGAAAGGAGGCTTTGCTGGAAGGATTACATTAAGATGCTCCTCACACAATGTACGATTATAAC